GCTCCGTGTCCTGGGATCCAGCCGGGCAGCCACCCTTCAGCTCTGCTCACACACCGAGCCAAAGCCTCCACTCTATGCTTTTATCCACTGTTTTATCCACCGTTTGCTCACACACACAGAGAGCAGAGAAGAGAAAAGCTTTTTCCTAACGAAGACCACCGCAGGCTAATCTAACATGGCACTGAATTACATTTAATCAAATTAATGTCAGTTCTCTAAATTATTTGCAGACACCCTGTTCTTCCAATGCCATCATTTTTCTACCACTTCTCCCCAATTATAAAAAAATAAAATAAAAAAAACCAACCCAAACAGAGGAGCCCAGGGCACTCCATGAGGAGAACAGATTTCCATTTCTGACGCTGTCTCATTGAATCAGCATTAGCTGCTTTCCACACACTCCATGGGAATCCAGGCTTGAACAATAATGATAATAATAAAAAAAAGAGCCATAAAAATGGTTTATGTTCTCTTTTACCTGCTCATTTGTGAATCAAAATGTCTTTGGACTGAATAAAAAGTTCAGCTACAGAATAATGGTACAATTGCCAGAGCATGTGAGGTTTGCCCTTCTCAGATGTCAGCCTGAGAAGTTCTCTGGGGCAGCAGCAAACATTCAGCCCCCCAAGGGAAGGGAAAAGCTTTTGCAAACATCTCGGACACATTTATGGGATCTGTGGGATCACAAAATACTGTAGTGAGGGCGCAGGTAATGGCATTTCCTTCCCCACTTCTGCAGGGGAATTCCACCCTAAGTTACTGCAATTCCTATTTATTACACTGACAATGTCCCTTTTTTTTTCCCCCTGAAGAGCCGAGTCCAGCCTGGCCCTTCCCCGTGGTCATTCCTGGGTCTGGCCCAGGGCACTGGGATGCACTGAGCATCTCATGGTGCAAAACCAGTTTCCCATGGACTTCCCGAAGGGAGCCTCTGCTGCAGGCACCGGTGATGACAGGAGATGCCATGGGACCAACTCCTAGAGCAGCAGAATCCCTCTGGGTTCATATTCCTGTGACATTTTCCCCTACTCTTGCAGCTCCCCCAGCTCGTTACTGGTCAAGGACAATTAAGTTGATTTATAGTGCATTTTTCTGAATGGCATCACTCACTCACTGCTACGGTTTGCTGAGCTGACCTTTTATTTTCCTTCTCTGGAGAAGGATGGGTCTCCTGAAACCCCTCCCGAGGGCTGCATTCCTCCTCGGGGGAGGATGCTGGGGCATCCCTGGCTCATCAGCGCTGTTAACACTCACCATGAAATTCTGCCGAGGACTTTATTCCACTCACAAAGCTGTATTTTTGCCAAGTGGAGGACAGCACAGCCCATGCCCAGCAATTCTCCGCCGGCAGCTTCAATCCAGCAGTGTTTACCCACCGCACAAATAAACCTTTCCCCCTCTAATGAGAGAATTCCAGCGGGCTGTGAAGCAGAGAAGGAGAATTTGAAGCTCCATCTCCATTTTAGCTTTTTTTTAAATCTCCAGCTGGCTGAGCAGCCTGCTCCTCAAATTAAAGCCCCCCATTAAAGGCAGAAGTTGAGTGTCACAGGCCCATCGCCCCGAGCCAGCAGTGAAGATCATTCGGTGGCAAGGGAGAGGATGAGCAAAAGAATCTGCTCCCTCAGACTGGAGAATAAAGGCAAGAAAATCAGGGAAAGCCTCTTTCTTTCCATTGCACAGAACCCAGCACAACAAAGCCCCTGTAGCCAACTTAAAGGGAATATCAGAGTTTCTCCAGACACAGAAACACGGGCCAATATGCAGATGTTAGTACTTGGAAAGAGAAAACTCGGTCTTTTAGAAAACTAAGCTACCTAAATCCATCTTTTATAGCCCTTTTCTTCCCTCAGCCAAGCCAAAAAGATTACACAGAATCCAAAATAAATGTAGAACTTCAGTCCCTTCCCAGAAACACCTACCCTGGCAAGTAAGATTTAATGTCACGTCACATCGATGTTTGACTAATCCCGCTCTCCCCAACTCTACCCTGCCAACTGGGCAAACAGTATATTTTAAACACCTATTTTTCTTAAGTGTAGAAGAGCACCAAGTGCCCAGTGCCAACAAACGCTGGATTTCATCCACTGCAGGTACAGGATACGCTCTTTGTCACCCTCTTTTCCTAATCCTAAAGTTCCCATCTCCTGCACGCCGAGCACTCCCCGTAAGCACGTTAAAGATCTCTTCCAGGACGCTGCCTCTGTTTTACAGCAGTAGGATCATTACAAATCAAACAGTTTGCCCTCGCGATGTGTTTCTCCTCTGCCCAACGTACCAGCTCCTTGTTTGCTGGCAAACGGGTCCCCAGGGCCCCCGGCAGCAAAGGGAGCATCCTTGGCGTGCTGAAAAAGCCCCACAAAGCAAAATCCTACATAGAAAACAAGAGCATTTCCCTATCAAAAGACTCCCAACTTCTTAATTTTTGCTGCTACAACTTAATTAGCCTCATAGCCCATCTGGCAATTTGCAAACCATTACCCGGCATTCTTTGGACCTTGAAATATTCAACGTAACGAGGCCCTAACAGGGACTAATCCTTTCACAGAAAGCATTTAACTCCAGGAAAATAACGCCACTTAGGTTGAAATATTCTTCGTTAGCGATTGAAAGTGGCAGTTCATAAAGAAACTGTTATATAAAAAAGAAAAAGGAAGGGACAGCCTGCCCTGCCAGGCGCTGAGCATCCCGGCCCTCTCCCTGCACTACCCAGCTGCAGTGTTTACAACAACTTTAATAATTCATCTGAGAACATCAAAACCGCTACTAAAAGCAAATTAACTACTTGTCCCTCATTTGTACCGTAGCCAAAGGTTTTACTCCCGCATCAGAAGCTGAAGGCAAGGAACATGGCAGAGGGGAAGACTCTCAATAATTCAGCTTTCCTATGGGCCGACTGCATCAGCCTGGAGTTCCCGGGATGCGGATGGAAGGACTCCGAGCCCGTCGAGGCACCGCAGCCAGAGCCAACTTCCTCGGAAAAGGGATAAGCAGCAAAATGGAAACCAGCAAGGGTCTGCAGGAAATCTTTGTGAAATTATTTGACCTTTTAAAAATTGAGTGAGGAGAGCGTCCCACCTCCCTCCCGGAACCAGCAGAAGCCGATTTCCCACACTGGGAGCTGTGACCAAGCACTGGGTGGAGAAGAAAACCAGTATTAAAAAGCCACACACTCCATAAAATCACATTATGGGACATGTAGAAAGAACCTTTGCTTTCATATTATAAATGACAAAATTCTGCATCAGACAGTTTGCATTTGTTGCTATTTACTGCAAATAAGCCCAGTCAATAAAAATTCCTGGTTCCGAGCCTCCAGCTCCTCCCTCTCTGGGGACAAGTGGAAAGTTAATTGCCTTCGTTATTAAACTCCTGTGCTGAGAGAGGTCTTATCACCGCACTTGTCAGGCAGGGCCAGGCAGAGCAAAAGCTTTTTTATCTGCTAACTGCTGGAGTGACAGCAGCCCACTGATACCACGAAGGTCAAAGACCCGCCAGCAGAGGATCCCAAGCAGGGATCTACGGGGTATTATTTAATTTAAATTCATCATACCATCTCCAGAGCATCCCTGAAGTTGCATCGGACCAGCCCAGTGCACAGGGGATGCTGAAACCTCACATGGAGCTGGACACCCTGCCCAAATGCAGTGGTCCCAGTTGGCCAAGGGTCCACCAGAGGGACCAGCTGGGTGGGATTCTCGGGGGGGGCTGGAGCCCTGGTCCTGCACGGCTGTGGGGGGTGCCCAGGGCTTCTGCAGGGGCAGCTCGCCCCAAATCCTCCCCAGGGAAGAGGGAAGGTGTCAGGAACAGGAGATGGCAGAGGGTGTGTGGCAAAACCATCGCCTGTCACCCGCAGTTCCTCCACTGGAGATGCACAAACCACAGTAAAACCCGGCTCCTGGAGGGAGCCCTGGCCCTGCCAGGCAAAGGGGACACAAGGGGACGAGCCGCCCACCACGGTGGCCAGGAGTAGGGCTGGATTCACAGCATTCCACTTTTCGGGCTGCTTGGAGATCCCAGGACATTCACAAGGACATTTATCCCATTGGCCAGGTCATTTTTTAAAAGCTTCATTACCCCCTGCCTTTAAGCAACTCCCCCGACACCGCACTGCCTTGACCCCCCACCCATGCCCCATCCAGGCTTCCCTCCTCTCTCCAGCTGCCCCTCGGGTGCCCTCACCACCATCGGATGGACCCCCTGTTTTCCAAACCCCCTCTTCTCCCAGCTCATGATAGGATGCCAAGCACAGCACCAGCACAGCACCAGAGAGATGCCCCCGCTCCCTTTCCGAGGCAGGATGGGACATCAGCCCAAATGACTTCTCCAAAGGTTTACATCCACTTTTGGAAATTCTTTATTTGCAAAACTTGGAGTCCACACTCAAAAAGCATTTCTTTAAGCTGTGCAGGAAGAACTCTCCTGCAGCACCAAGACTTTCTCTCTTTGCAGTTCATCATTTCATACAAAGTCTCAGATTTTTACACCATGCAGCTTAAAGACACTGGTTATTAAAAAACCCCTCAACATCAAGCATTACCGTCGTGTCATCATTAGGTTTCAGAGCCAACAGTGTCAATGCAATTAGGTACAGCTCATTACCATCCTGCCTGCATGCTCAAAGTGAGGATACTTCCAACAAGAGGTCCATCACCTCCTTCCCAGTCCACAACACAGAGTGCTCAATGATTTCCTCAAAACACTAGTGAATTCAGTCCCCATCTTTGGAGTCAAGTGGAGAGCAAAGACTCAGGGGGCAGAGAAAATAAAATTTTACATCAAAATTATAGTGAAAAACTACAACACCTGAATTAAATGTGAAGATGAATGACCCTGACCCAACACAACCCTCATTTCTTCCTTTTGTCTGACCTTCTCCTCCCCCCAGGCCGGTTGTGCTGGGCTGCAGACCCCAGCTCAGCTCCGGGGCTGCCACGGGGCAACGAGCCCAGGTTTGGCCGAGACATTTGTTCAGAGCCCCTGGGTCCCACCCAGCAACTCACCAGGAAGCGGACATCGTCAAAGCCGTTCAAAAGCAGCTTACTCTCGTACTGCTGCAGGCCCAGGGACTCCAGCCACTCCCCGACGCTCTGCTCCAGCATCCGCGAACCTGACGAGAGAGGAATCGGCAGACGCTTGAAAAGGGAGAAACCGTTAAGGCGGTAGCAGCGGCACTCTGAGGAGGACAGATGGCATTGCCACATCATAGTCATTACCATAAAGAAACTCAAAAAAATTATGCCCAGAGTACAACAAATCAGCCGGCAGACAATTCCTCTTGTGCGCACAGACCATGGACAACGAGCTTCCAGCGCCTCGGCCGGCTCCGGGTTTTAATTTGTAAATCCCAGTTAACACTCAGAAAAAGAAACACCTGGCCCGGGCCGAGTGTTCAGCAGCGCTCCTGGGACCAGGGCGTCTCATGCAGCGCTCGCAGGGCACGGGGCAGCTTCTTGCCAGGCAAACACACCAAGCCCAGCCCCGCGGGGATGCGGATCCTCTCCTTGGCTCGTCCGGAGGGGGCGGGAGGAGGGCAGCAAACTCTTCCCCCCCTCCCCTTCCCCCAGGCATTCCCAGCCAGCCCTGGGTGCGAGGGACGGGGAGCGGAGCCGCTCACAAGCGTGGGGAGCTGCGTGGGTCCTCTGCTCCGTGACACGGCGGGCGCACAACCCTGCGCGGGCGAACGGCGGAGGGGGCCGGGCGCGTCGGAGGCACAAAGCAGCTAAAGAGAAAACACATCTTCATGCAGCCCAGACACAAACCAGACACGACGGAGGGTCAGAAAAGCAGCAGAAGCCAGGCCAGAGCAGCCGTCCGCAGGAAGACATGCAAGACAAAGAAAGCACACAAACTGCAGCAGAAGGAAAGAAGGGCTTATACTTTTTTTCCCCCAGCAGTCCTGAAAGAGGCAAACCATGGTAAGGGCTTTCTCTCCCCGTTAGGGTGTCAGGAGGAGCAGAGGTGTGGGTGACCCCGAGCACGAGAGTCCTGGCACTGTCATTTTACCGCCTATCCGGACGCGTGGCATCGCAGCGCGCTGCTGGGAGCGGGCTGGCTGCACCGGAGACTAACGACACCCCTGCAGGGGCTGGCAGCAAGGGAGACAGAGGAATTGATAGGGTTTTCACCCACATTCGGTCCTGCCAGGTGCTCGGTACCCGCTGGCGTTTGCCCTTCCTTCATCTTCTTCAGCCGCCGCATCCGAGCCCCTCGCTCAGACAGGGAGCAGCTCAGGAGGAGGCGGCGTTTCAGTCCTCGCCTCCAAACCACGACAAGACAAAAAGCACCCCAAAGCAAGCACGCTCTCTGCTCTTCCTGCAGCAGCTCAAGTCCAAGACGTGCCCTGGCACCTCCTCGCAGCCTCTGATAAATGAGATTCTTCCCAACACCCGATGGAAGGTGTGCAGAAAAGCTCTCCCTTCGCTCAGCCCTGGGAAGAGAGTCCAGTGACTTGTTACCCTCCTCTAGAAAAGCTTCAGACCCTAAATATGCCCCCCAAAAAAGTTCAGAGAGCTCCTTTTCATCGGGGAATTTGCTATGCGAGACAGGCAGGATTTTTCGGGCTTCTCAGCACATCTGTTTCAAGGGTGCAAATGAAAAGATGATGAGGAAAACCAGGTTGGCTTTCTTTGAACCTTCAGGTCAGCTGAAGCTGTTTGGTACCTTCCAAGCCATCCTTCCCACCCCCGCCCCTGCAATGGCTGCACAAGGCAGAGCTCAGGCTGGAAATTCTTGGGGTAAGGGATCCGTCCGCTCCGGTCCCCAGGAGAGCTCCTCTGCCGGGCGAGCGGCCGCCCCGAGCTGCCCAGTCCTCCCAGCACACGCCGCAGCACCAGGGACGCAGGGAGCACAAAAGGGCTCCGTCTCCCTCCCGTACGGCAGCCCCGGCCGAAGGGCAGCAGCTAAACCTGGGATTTATGCAACAAGCTCCCGCGCTGGTCCCGGGGGGGTCTCCATCCTTCCCTTCTCCATCCTTCCCTGCTCCGCCAGCCGCCGCGTCCCCTCACCGAGCCGTCCTCCGTCCTCGCCCAGCGCCGCCGCCACGGGCTTTGTCTGAAGGCAGGGAGCTCCAGGCTCGCCGTGTGGCTGGCAGCCCTGGCTCCGGCTCTCGCATCGCCTGTCCCTCCCTTCTCCTCATCCTCCTACCCCTCCCAGCTCCTCCATCCGCACGGCGGAGGCTGCAGGAGAGGGGAGGGTGACGGCGGCTTCAGAACTCTCCACTGGAAATTACTGACTTCTCAATATTTACTGGATGATGGAACTACGCGGCTCAGGTTTTCAAAAGGGGGAAAAAAAAAAAAAGAAAGATGTTCCAGGTCTGCTTTGACAGTTCCGAGTGATTTGTGGCTGGCTCAGAATTAATTTATCGAGAGAGAGGTGAGGAGGCTGCTGGCTGCCTACTACAGCATTTCTGAAAGCAGCCGGGGTATTGGCAGGGGGAATGAAACCGCAGCAGTTCCTTCCTCTGAGCTCCTGAATTTCGATTTTAAAAAATTATTTACTCTACTCAGCCTTTAGTGCACTCATAAATGTATTTCTGCTTTATGAAGGGGAAACCTGCAGAGACACCAAGTGCAGATTTTCTGGTTTTAAAACCACTCAAAATCAAGACAAAACGAAGGTGGGGGGTGTGTAATGCAGGGAGGGGAACGGAGGGGTTTGCTTTAAAAAGAAAAGAGAACAGATGCCCCAAAACATCCAAGATTGAGAATAAGGAAGTCCGAAATACACTGAATATTTGCACACTACAGGGATGGCACAGGAGCAAATCCCAGTCCCTGTGCCCCCCCAGCAAGAGCCCGATGTCAACTTGTGATTAAAACAAACTCCTAATTCTCAGCTCCATCCTCCTTACGCTCCACCCTTTAGGAATCCCACCTTTAAAAGGTCTGCGGATGGCAGAGGGAACACAGTCAAGAGAGTGTAGTCAGAAATAATCAGAGTATTTCAAAATTGCAAAAAAAAAAAAAAAAAAGCAAGCCAAGCAGTTCAGTTCCTCTTGCAAGACATTTTCCAAGTAAGAAAACGTGCTTCAAGGAAAACAGGAAAAGGAAAGAGGATCAGGGTTCAGAGAGGTCCTTTCACAAGTTACGGTTTCAATAATGACCTTTAGTGCAAAGTTTGAGTCTGTTTGGAGGAAGAAATAAGTAGCTGGGTCACGTCGGACAAAAAGCATCACCCCATTTGCTCCGGGAAACTGATAACAGCTTAACGTGACCTGGTGTGGCCCGAGGACACACGACCCAGGTTCACTGGGAGGGAAAAACTGCAGGTGTTGATGGAACCACTGCCCAGGCACAAAGCACACGTGGGAGAGAACCAAGTCGGGCAGTTATTGCCCCGGCTGGGGATGGTCATCAGCTGAAAGTCCTTAAATCCACTGCGGGGGGCCAGAAACTCCTGCAGCGCATTGGGCAAGACGGATGGGCGAGGAGGATGCGGTCATTGATACCATCAGATGCCAGAAATCCAGCCAGCACCCAACTTTACTGGAAGGAAGATCAATTAGCCGAATGCAGAGTGCTAACGAAGTTGTCCCTCTTTACTTGTCCCTCAAGTAAAACACCGAGCCCATTCCTCACGTCTCGAGTCCCCATCAGAGTCAACTCACCCGCCCCAAATGCCCTCCCTGCCCAGGGCAGGTGCCTCCTGCCCGCACCGAGCTGATTTACTGAGCAGAAACGGCTCATCTCCTTGATTTTTGGGGAGAGAAATGGTGCCTGACACAGGGCTGTAACCAAACCAGCCCCACACGGGTCTCCCGGCCGAAGGCAGCAGCAAGATGAGGGGCTGCGGTGCCGTGGGGCTGAGCTTCTGCTGCCAAACCCAGGCTCCCCGGCCCCCCCGAGCCCCCCTGGAAGGGTGAGATGCTCCCAAGTGGGTTCCTGGAGCCAAAGGAACGTGTGACCGCGACACACACGTGCAGAGAGGCACAGGCTGAATACAAATGTCTCCTCCCAGGCAAAGAAGCCCTCATTTTAAAACAAAGCCAGGTGGAATCTGGTATCCTTCAAGAGATTCCTTGATTCCTCAGCCTCCAAAAAGCACCTACCAACATGGACCAGTGACAGACCTCTCCTTTCCTCCCTCCTATCCCACCCCACCCTTGGGAAATACATTTGGAAGATTTTATTATGAGCTCTTCCAGGAAATGAGAGGGTCGAACCTGTTGGCCACGAAACAGATTCTAGCTCCAAATTCTATAAAGATGCCAGGATTTATCTAATTACTTTATCATCCAGGGGCCTCCAAAGTTTAATGTGCTCATCCATCACGCCGTGGCAGGACACAGAAGTTTTGTCTTACCCTGTTTTCATGGAGGAAAGCTCAACGGTTCAGGAAGCAGCTATTTGCTCAGGTTTGTAGGGGAAATCTGGGACACAACAGGCACCTGAAATAAGGCATCTTGGAGCCTGGGTTTGTTCCAGCCTGACTCCAAGGGGTCCCTGCTTTCCTGAGACACAAGTCAGCTGTGTGTAATCACTGCTTGTATAAACTGGCTTCAAAAATACTCATCTCCGCAGTAAACGCCGAGCAAGGCATTTTACCTTTCCAAATTAGCGATTCCAGACACCAAACCAGTCAGGAGCACCAAGATCCTCCAAGCCCACCCATTTTTGAGGATGTGAGAGTGTTTGCAAAGTCCCCTGCTGCTCCCTGCGGTATGATCTGAAGCGTTAAAGCAGCCCTGGCAAAGTCTGGAGGAGCAAAAGCTAAAACACTGCTAGAAAACAAAAGCAGAAGGGTTCCTGCAGCCCAGGGCAGCCCTCGTCCTCGCAGCGAGGGGGTGGGAAAGCGCTGCCCCCCCTCTGGCTCCTGCACATACAGGGAAGGAAGGAGGGACAGGGAACGTGTCCAGCAGCTGGTGTGTGTGTGAGAGATCCCGATCGGAGCGTGAGGCAGCACATCCCGCAGGAAAACACAGGGCTGAAGGACAAGGCAGCTCCCGGGGCTGCCAGCTCCAGGGACGGGTGTCCATTTTGCTGAGAACTCCCCACACAACGGCAGCTTTTGCTGGAGCTCTGGCTCCTCCTCTCCCCTCCATGTCAGCCCTCCCCACCAACGGTATCGATCCATCGCACCGGCTCGGGGAGGGCAGGGCTGGCACAAAGCAGATGCTAAACAGTTGTCATCACAGCAGAGCAGAACCCCACACGCTGCTTCGCATCCCTCTGCAAAAGGGATCTGACCCCAGAAAAACCTAAGCCCTCATCAGCACGTAGCACCCAGGGCAGGCACAGGCTAAACTCCCACTGGGGACGCAGGGTGGGTTCCTCCTCCCCAGAGCAAGAACCCAAGTGACAAATGGATCCGAGATGAGCTTTATGATGGCAAACCTGAGCCCTGTGTGCGGGTACCATCAGCATCTCATCAGGAGGAGCCGCTGCCCACCCCGTGCCTTTCAGATGCCGCAGTTTGGAGGTGAAGGATTTAAAAGGACAGAAGCCCTGGTGGTGGCAGCTCTCAGCATCCTCCATCCCGCTGCAGGAAAGGCAAATGAGCTCCCGAGTTCTGCTTTTGTCTTTGCTCCTCATTTAGAGGCAGAGAAGGAAATTCATGCTCAGTGAAACACCCGTCCTGCAAACAGCCCTGTTTAGTGGATATTGATACCTAGAGGAACTCCTGGAAAAAGCCCGGCATCACCCACGTTGAGGCACGTGGCAGATGGACCATGTCCAAAGAACACGGCCACCGCGACACCCGTGCTGATCCCCAGCTGGCATCACCCCAGTCCCACTCCCAGCACGGCCACTGCCCCCAGCAGAAGTGGCCAGGGAGGACAATCCTCCCCCAGCAAAGGAATCCAAGAGGCATCGGGAGAAGGTCGTGTCCCCAGAAAGGCAGGAATGTCCCTGGCTATTGGGATGGTGGCACTTGGTCACCCAGGGAGCATCCCAGGGACAGCACTGCCACAGCTGAACCAGTCCCCCCAGCAGAAAGCGTTTCCTACAACAACAATTCCAAGATGTGAATTTTCTAAAACCCTTGAGCAGTACATGATATTTAGGCACCTTTGGTCCCCAGACAACAGAGTTCAACGGCATCTGTTTAATCAAGCCGTGTGCTGTGTCTCACTACACACAGCTCCCCCTCAAAAGGCACCATTAAAGCCAAGCAATTATCTCCTCCTTTGATGGCCAAGGACTGGGCTCCTGAGGACCCACGCTCTGCCTACAGCAGTGGGAGGAGAGGTCCTTTAAACTGCTGCTTTCCAGAGCAAAGCTGCATCCCAGGAAAAGAAGAATTAAAATAAACCTCCCGAGCAGCTCAGAAACGTGGAAGTCGGCTGGGAAAGGGGTAGGTCATTTCCCTGCTCTGCAAACAGCACGGAGGCACACCTAGCCTCCTTCCTCTGTTAGTTCCACCTCCCCTTCACATCTACTTTCCTCCAAAGGAGACACAAAAAACATAGGAAAAAAACTGGTAAAATGACAAAAGGATCCTGCAGAACCAAGGGGTTGTTGCAGAAGCAGTGGAGGAAGATTTATAACCAAGCCTTGGCTCTCTGCACGGCTCCAGTCCGGACCTTGAGCACAAACTCAGCGCGGGGTTCGCTGCTCCCCATGTCCCAGTCGCCTCTACTCACAGCATTTACAGAAATGCCAGTGTTTTAACCCAGGATCGTCTCCCGTGGCTCTGATGCTGCATTGCGGAGATAAGAGTTCTAATAACTGCAACCATGGCTGGAGGAGGACGCTGCTCTCTTGGAGGAAAATCAATGCATTAAATGACATTACGATTCCTTCCTCTTCATCTCGTTTTATGGAAATTACGAAAAGCAAAGAAAAAATGCACAACTAAACCATCTCACACTATTTATAAAGTTTTACTATAAAATTAATAAAACTACATCCTTCAAGGTCATAGATGTAGGTGAAATATGAAGAAAAAAGAAATTGTGATGATTTTTATCCAATTTGAAGCAATAGGGCAAAACTGTTACCCCTCGTCCTGTCGCTGCTGTTCCTGACAAAGAGTCCTTCCCCATCTCTCCTGGAGCCCCCTCAGGTACTGGAGGGCTGCTATAAGGTCCCCCCCGGACCCTTTGCTTCTCCAGGCTGAACCCCCCCAAACTCTCTCATCCTGGCTTCATCGGAGAGGTGCTCCAGCCCTCGGATCATCTTCATGGCCCTCTGCTGGACCCGTTCCACCACTATATCCAATATGCATATTTGATTTCTTGGCCACAGTCACCCTGATGTAAGACTCCAAATACAGAATTCCCACCCCATCCTCCCAGGACTGAAAGGATTTTAAGAGCTTTAAAGAACAAAATATGAGAACGTGGAGGGTTATAAAGAGGTTCTGCTCATTTCCAAAGGGACAGACCCACACCTACATAATGAAAAAAGAAAAGCCAGGAAAAAAGAGCATCTTGCTACTGCATTATGGATTTGAAACAAAAGCAAGGCTGTTGTGGGAATTGTGAGAGCAGCCAGAAGACAAATCCGTAGCGGCTCCTTTTCAGACAGACTGCTTAAAGAATATTTTGTTTCTCCCCACCAGAGAAGAAGAGAAACTCAAGACAAACGTATTCTGAGAGGCAGGAGAGAAGTGCAGAGGATCAGTGCAACTTTCTCAGAGGCCATGGCCAGAACAACAGCAATGGCAGGAGCCAGTGGAAGTCTGTATCCTTGGGATACTGGCTGGAGTCCTGACACCATCCTTCAGCTGCTAATTAGTTTTATTTTGTATGTGCAGAAAACCTGATCTTCCTCCTTCACACTGAGTTGTGAGGTTTTAAGTATGAGCACAGCGTGGTTACGGGGCTGTGTGAGCAGGGGGAAGGAGCCAGCCCCTGCCCCAGAGCTGGTTTTACCGCCCACGAGCAAAGAAGTTTCACTTGCAGAAGAGCAGCAGCAGCGTCCCAGAGCCCTCACACAAACCAGCAACTCTCATCTCCCCAAAAGGAGGGGCTATAACCAGGCACTTCATGTATGGGAAGGCACCGAAATAAAAACGCCACAATTCTCAGCAATAAATCTTTGTTTAAAGCAATTCAAGGATGCAAAACAGCCTCTCAAAACTTACCGTATCCTGAATGGTAATAAAAGCCCCAAAATTATCAAGGGGCAGTTTCAACAAGAAACAGGAACCCCTGTGCACACCCACTGCTGTCCCGGGGTGAGTATTAACCAACATTAATAATAATCAACAAGTCCCCCCCCTTCCCATCAGGCTGGGGGGTCCCAGCCACAATTCTCTTCACCCAGCCCCTTTCTGCCACAAACCCTGCTGGCGGGAAGGACAGCGGCATGATATAAAATTAAACTAATCTGCCTAGGGGAGCACTGGGTTCAGATTGCTATTGAGTGTTATGCAGGGAAGCCAAGGGCTGCTCCTGCTGTGCCAGAGCCTTTTCCCTTCCCCTCCTGCAGCCACGGCAGGTTAAAGAGCTCTGCAGGCAGGAGGCAGCACCTTTATTTTTGGACAGACGGACACACACACACACTGGGTACGGTACCTGAGATCCTCTGCTGCTCCTGAGAGAAGTCGATGCCTTCGCCGATGGAACTCATGATTTTCTCAATCTGTAAATAATTAAAAAAAGAAAGAGCACGTGCTGCATTATTCATAAAGCCTGAGGAAAAGGTAAAGGCAGCCCCAGGATTTCACCTGCCACGTGGCTGCCGAAGAAATCCAGGAAAGGATGTTAAGACACCCCGACCCCGAAAAGGTGCCCTTAACACCTCTGGAAACGTCTTTGTAGGGATGGTTTCGGTGGGTATTTTTGGTTTGGGTTTGTTGGTTTTTTTTTTAAAACCCATCTCATTTCCCAAGGCTGTGCCCGGACACCGTGCTCCTCAGCACTTCCACCCGGAGCAGCCGTGCTTAGAAAAGGTTCCAAAATAGATCTCAAGTTTGCAAAAGTGGCACCATCAC